CTTCTGCCCCGCGCTTGGACCTGAGGCATCTCCCTGGGGTGTGCCGGTACCCCCGGGTTTGTGCTGAGAACGGGACCGAAACCGTACTGTGGGTGGGTGTTTGCATGAGTAGGGCTCCTCTATATGCAGCCTTTCCTAATGCAGTCTGAAATCTCCTGCCCCGGTCAGGTTCTTTCTGGAAATGTGACAGTGTTCAGAGTATTTCTGAAATGCCATGACTTCAATGGTTTGTTTTTTTTTTCTTTTCCCTCCAAGTCCACATAGTGCCAAATGGCGCAGCCTGCATGTTGAAGAAAAGGTTTTGCTTAATCTTCCCTGTTAGAGAGGAACGTGTCAGTGCCCTTCAGTTTGAGCTGGGGAGTGAAGGGCAGGGCCTGGAGGGAGTGAATCGGGGTATGGAGGAGGCGCAGGGGGAAAGGGGATCTTCATCCTGGAGCTGTGCTGATGTTTCCCTGATCAGTGATGTCTGAAAGAAGTGAAAAAGCATGGACACTAGCCAAACTGGGGAGAGAGAACTGTGAATTTGCACGTTATCTCTTTGGGGAAGATACAGAGAGCCTGTGTGCAGGGAACTGGAAAAGGCGGTTTGTGTGGCAGCATGCCGCAGGGCGGTGAGTACGGTGCTGCTGGCTTTCCCTGGAGAGGGGATGGTGCCTGCTGGAGAGCGTGGGCAGGGCCGGGAAAGGGCGAACGCGGGGTATGTGGATGGGGAACCTGGTGCCAAGAACTGATGGAAGAGAAATGTACGTTGCATGTGAAATGGGTCATTTTGCACCTCGCAGCAAATGATTTTGTGGTTGCTGCGTATGTCTGCAGTGGGTCCCCAGCACGGAGGGCTGTGTCGGAGGTGGCAGTCTGGGCATTTGTGCGAGGCTGGGGCTAATCTGTCCTCAAAGAGCCCAAATGGGGAGTGTGGTGGGGTGGCCCAGACATCACCCAGGGGCTGCTTGTGGGGTCAGCCTGGTCTTGGAGGCCAGCTCGGAGCAAACTGCTCTGATCTCCCCTTACTGTTCCTTAAACGCAGCCAGTATTGGGAATACAGTGTGGGGGTGTCGAAGCTGAGCGTCACAAGGAGCTTCACCTGCGAGAGTTTGTGAGCTCAGCTTGAGAGAAAGTAGCTGAGATGCCTTCAGACTTGAGTTGTCTCTGGAGGCAATTTAGCCATGCTTCAGCTAATGAGCCCAGGCAGGTTGGAGCTGATGTCTGAAAAAACCACACCAAAACAAAGACCTTAGCAACAAAATATTAAATACAATTGCAGTTTTGCTACTATCTCCAGTATAGAGCTTACATCAGAGAAACCTATGCAGAGGACATACAGAGAATCAGGCTGCACAGTGGAAGAAGGCATGTTTGGGAACCACAGGTGTGGATGGGGGAGGGATGTAAAGGGGGGAAGGGACAATATGAATCTCTTATAGTAAATGTTTAAAATGTGTCAAAGTTTTTATAAACATGAACATTTAGTTTCTTAATTTCTTTGCATGTTCCTGTCCTTTCTTCTTCTATTTGTATCTCATCTATCTTATCTATCTTGTTATCTTACTGACTTTTCAGAAGGGGAGTTTTGCATTGCTGACTTTCAGAATTTTTAGAAAAGAAGTGCACGTTGGCCTGATTTAACCTCTAATGTTCATTTACGAATCAAAAAAATGAAGCTAAAGAATGGTTACACCTGGCTGAGTGTTTTGAAAGAAGTCCAGCCAACATCACAGAAATATGCTGCTACTTTATAAGAACAGCAGTGTTTAAAATCAAGACTGTAGCTATCTGTTCAGCTATGTGTGTTAAAATTTGTGAATTGCTGTGTGAAACTGAAAAGTCTAAAATTCCACATCTAATTTCAAGGTCTATTTCAATGAGCAAAAGCATGAACGTAAAATGGAGCATTATGTTCTGCACAAGATCTAGGTTTTACTTGCTAACGATATAAATCAAAGAAATAAGTTGAGTAATTCTATGTGCAGTTGCGTAAGGCTACAACATAAAGCGACCCATCGATTTCCAGTCATGGAAGCCATTGATACCAGTTGTCTCATAATGACTGAAATTACATTCATTTCATTACATGAAAAGGAATATTTTTGTAATCTATGGTCTGTAATGCTGGGAGAATATTTATCGCATTGTGACATGAA